CATGTGGCTCTTTGGCCCCTTGAGTGTGGCTCTTCCACAAAATACCATGCCTGGGCGAGTCTATTTTGAAGAAGTGATGTTAGAAGAAGTTTAAGGTTTTTTTTGTGTCTTTTTGTTGTTTTATTTTGTTTTTAAATATATTTTATTGATTTTTTTTACAGAGAGAAAGGGAGAAGGATAGAGAGTTAGAAACATCGATGAGAGAGAATCATTGATCAGCCGCCTCCTGCACATCCCCCACTGGGAATGTGCCCACAACCAAGGTATTGATACATGCCCTTGACCAGATTCAAACCTGGGACCCTTCAGTTTGCAGGCCGACGCTCTATCCACTGAGCCAAACCAGTTTTGGCAGAAGAAGTTTAAGTTAAAAAATTTTGCTCTCAAAAGAAATTTCAATAGTTGTACTGTTGATATGCCTTAGAATGTCAAATAAAAAAATGGCTGCAGCCAACACAATAGCAATCTGGGGTGAATGCCTTGTCTTGAAACATAAATATATAGATCATATAATCGAGTTGCATATTATTGATCAATTCACATAATACCTATTTTTTGTCAGATGGACAAGAAACATATTTTCTGATTTGTGTGCAGAATTTTAGTAATTACTTTCGTGTGTCATGAGAAGAAATAGGCTGAAAATCACTGTTGTATTTCACTAGAAATTTAGGTGTTAGTTAATCTGATTGTGGTAATCCTTTCAGAATGTTCACATTTATTAAATCAGCATTTTATTTGCCAATTGTACCTCCAGAAAGCTAGAAAATAAACACTTTCAAAAAATGTAAAAGCAATAAGGACCCTACCCAAACACTGTCCCATGAATATGATGCCCTATAAAACTGGGAAAGCTACCCCGAAACGTCCTGTGCCTCTGTTTCCTGGAATAGGGTAGGAAGACCTCATGAAAGTTAGCTGTGAGTAGTGTTCCCTGGAGTTTGCTAGTAGACTCAATGGGTTCCACTCCCTGAATGTTACCTCATTTGACCCTGGACCAGTAACACAGTATCCCTAGTCTCAATGTCCTCATCTGTAAATGAGACAATACAGTCTACCTCACAGAGGTGTTTCTATATTTTGAAACTGACTAGGAAAGTGCTTGCTCACAGAATTTGACACAAAGGAGACACCCTATACTTTTTGTTAAAAAAAAAATAATAAAAAAACAAGTATTTATACAAATGACTTAACCAATAAAACTACTACCAATGAAAAGAAATATCATTAGCCACCATGACTGATTGCTCTCCAGATCCCAATTTCTGTGCTTTTGCCTAAATCCAGTCATTGCCCACTTGGTCTGTCTATACTTTACCAAACCTGCCTGACTGCTTTTTTCTCTGTGTTTCTTTTATTGTACTTATAAAATTTTAAATTTTGCCATTTTAACCATTTTAAAGCACACAGGCATCAAGTACATTCACAATGTTGTGCAAGAATCACCACTAACTTGTTCCAGAACTTTTTTATTACTCCAAAAGGAAAGCTTATACCCTTTATCAGTCACTCCCCCTTCCTTCCTTGCCCCCTTCTCCCAGCCCCTGGAAACCACTGATCTCCTTTCTATCTCAACATACTATTTCATAGTATTTGCCTATGCTGAGTATCTATACTAATAAGAGAGAGATATGGTAATTGACCATCACTCCGTGACGCCCACGGCCAATCAGGAGGGAATATGCAAATTAGCAGGACAAAGATGGCAGAGGCCATGGAGCCAGCTGGAGTGGGCAGAAAACTTATGTTGCCCCTAGCGACAAGGGAAGCCAAGCTTCCTGCCTGCCTGGGCCAACTGCCAAAGGAGGGGCCTGCAAACAGCTCTCAGCCCCTCACCCACGCTGGTATAGAAATAGAATTGCTGGGTCACATGGCAACTCCGGGTTTAACTTATTGAAGAAACTGCTGTGACTTCCTAAGTGACATTCTTCATTATTTTGCGTGAGTAAAAGCTGACTGCCACATTTCACATGTTGTTTTAGCCACTAAGTCTCGGGGTGGTTTGTTAAACCACAATAGGTAATTAGGATATACACTTCCACACACACTTTATGGTCCAACTAAAACTCTAGCACCAGCTGATAGTTTAGATGATTGGCCACTGCCTACAAAACTACCTGCACCGATTGTGCACCTTACGGGTACGCCGTGGAAGCAACACCAGCCACGTGATAGGGCTCAAAGAGAGAATGATCTCAAGGCCACGAACTTGAGTCCTGCCTGAGCCACTTTCTAGCCAGGGAGGACTTAGACCGTGCATGTCAGCTTCGGTTCATTCATCTGATAGAGAAAAACCAAACTATCTACTAAGTTAGGATTCTTTGCCATATAGAGAAAAAAAAAATTAACTAGCTTAATAAAAGGAACTTAAGGATTCACATAAATGAAAAGTTTGGAAGTGGACTTCAGGATATAGGAATAGGAATTGCTTGGCTGAACAATGTTATTTCTCTCAATGTCACTGGCTCTCAGACATCTCCTCTTTCTAAACCAATGTATCAACGGGCCGACCCTGGTGGTTCTTATTACGATAGCAAGATGCCCTTCCGTGATGACCATTAGGGAGGGGAAGGTCTATTCCTCACACTAGGGGGCACCCAGCAAGGCCCCCGGTGGAGAGAGAGCAGGGGCCTGGAGTTCTCCTTTGTTGGGGTTGAGTGTGGAGGCCTAGGGTTTCATGGGCTCACCTTTTATTGGTGAATTTAAAATATAAGAGCAAGAAGGTGAAGTGCGGGAAGAGAAGAAAACAAGTGGCCCAAAGGGTCCGTTATTAAATCCACCAAGATCTCTGAACAAGGATGCCTCAGAGTGGGTGCCAGGCTCTCCAGCTGGTGTGGCCAGTGTCCTTGTTACCTGAGACAGCCGTCTTTGAAGTGGATGCCTCTTTGAAATGAATGCCATGGCAGTCAAAGCTTACCTCAGACGCTTGCATTACAAAAGGAGAAAAGCCACTGTCAGGGCTCACACCACAGCTCCTCAGTGAGTGTGGCGCTGCTGGTGTAAGCAAACCGCCTTGGTGCTGAAGCACAGCACACACACCACGTGACAGGTCTGCACCGAGGTGCGTAGTGCCCTCTGCGAGCAAGCACCCAACGACCCGTTTCTCAGAAGTCATCCCTGTCTGTCGTTAAGGGGCACATGGCTGTGGAAGCTTACATATCGTGGAAATTTCCAGAAAGAGCCACAAGACACTGCAAGCAGCAGTTCGCTCTGGGAAACAGAGACTTTTACTTTTGGCCTTTGAACTGCTTGTACAGTAGATGGCTTGTATGTATTTTTAGGGGCAGAGATTTCGGTTCCTAAAGCTAGCAGCAGTTGAAGTGATATGGGAGTCAGCTGTGAGGGATGTGCCGGTTGAGATGGGCTGATGCTATTTCCTAAGCAAAGCAGAGCCCCGTCCTGTGGCTCTGAGGAAAATAGGTAGACACAGACCCACAGGGACGGCCAGGGATGGGATCTACCTAAAATAGGCGGGCTGGTGGTGGCAGGGCAGACGGATGGCCGAGGACTTGCCCTTACAAGCAGAGGAGACCTGTAAGTGTCAGCTGACCGGTTTGCTCATGCTGGGAAGCTGGCCCTCATCTGGGAACTGCCCAGTGCTGCTCAGCATGCAGTGCCGGCTGCATTGCCTTCTAAGCACTATACGCATATCAATCCATTAAACCCTCACAGCAGCCCAACAGTTTTATTTCCTCACTTCACAGATGATGGAACAGAGGCAGAGGTGAATGAATGAATGAATGAATGAATGAGTGAAGCTACCTTAGGTAGCTACATTTCTAAAGTGACTCTGTAGGAAGATAAGCATATACAGCTGCTTAACATATACACACTTTAACAGCTGATAACTCAATTTTGAAAATGATGTGTATTTTAATAAACTCTGCCTTTATCATTATTTTAAGTACATGTATACATTTTCAAGGGACACTCCATATTCCAGAGTTGTTTTCTGTTGATTGGCAACAAAGGCGAGGAACCCATGGGTCTGTCAGAGAATTGGGCGAAAGCTGTAGACCAATCATGCGTGTGATCACGAGATCCTTGGGTCCCGGGAACCCAAAGTGGATGCAGGGTCCAGAACTCGTTCTGCGGGTCTTTCAGACCTAAGACACGGGGATGTGTTGTGATATCCCTTGTCCTCTTGAAGTTTCTAAGTTTAACACACATACACCAAAAAAAGTGCCAACTTCTCTAACCCTGTAGTCATCGTTTTATGGGTGAAAGTGGGAAATAAAATGTCATGTAGTCCAAAGTAAGTTCGTCATCTGGCACTTGCAAATATGACAAGTTGGATAATGAGGGGTACCATCTACTTTGTCTAATGTGGGCAGTTTGGGGCAGAAAAGGGGCACCACAGGCTGGGAGTCCTGGGCTACCCAGGGCAGTCATTTGGGCGGAACAAATCTGTATCCAATCATGTCTGTCTGATGGAGAGGGGGGACTGGCTGCTTTCCCAGGAGTCCCAGGCGGAGAGTCACGTGCTCACCTGCCTCACCCGCCTCACTACTTTGATTCCCATCTCTACCCTTTTGAACCTATTGTTCCCTGTACGTACACACAGTGTGGCTTTGTGCCTGGTCTGGAGCGCCCTAGGCCAGAGAGCTGCTCACTCCAGATTAGAGGTCAATGCCAAGAGCAGGGGCTTGGCTCTCCCCGTGTGCCCTCGCCTGCTTCCCCGACTCACAGCAGGCCTGCCTTCCCGTCTAGCTCACCTCATTGTTTACCAGGTCAAAGCACAGTGACCCAGGGACCTGGCGGCAGTGAAGGTCGCTTGTCCCAGGGCACCCACCCCTAAGCCAAACCAAGTGCCATCCCAGGAGCCAGGGCGGCCATGGGTTGAAATTTAACTATCGGGGCTCACGGTTGGGGTGAGTTTTGACAATAAGAAGCGGGTCCAATCCACTCCACTGGTTTCCCAGGCAAAGCAAGGACAGTAGTAAAGACCCTCTCGTTATTGGGCTTCGCGCGGGGACAGACCCAAGATGCTCAGGACCCCGATGCTGGGCAGGATCCACGCCACGTCTTCAGGCCTCTCCGTCTTGGCCAAGCAGGTGTGGGGGGTTCTGCGAAGCCACCTGCTGAGGCCCGAGCGCCCGTGCTCCCAGGTGCCCTGTGCGCACAGAAGTAGGAATAACGCCTGTAAGTAGCATTGCTTAGAGTCCTCCCATTTCCCCAAATGCAGTCTGACATTTAGCTAATTTTATGGCAAGGTGTCTTTCAAAACGAAGGCAGCCTGGAGGCAGGAGGCTCCGGTTCAGATTTCTGCTCTGTCTCTTCCTGTGGGCGACCTTGGCGAGTTCTTTAACCTGATTCACGGAGAGGGGGGACTTGGGACAAGGCACCCTTCTCCAAGACGAGCTGTTCTTATGAAGGATCCAGCCGTGAAGGACCAAATGAGCCAGTTATCAGAGCTCCAAACCTCCCCAGCAGAAACATTCTCGGCAAACATGCAGTCAATACACCCAACCCCTCTGTCCAGGGACTGCCCGCTCTGTCTGCCTCACGCCGGCATTTACATGCTTAATGCTCTGTGAACTTGGGCGCATTCTTTCCACTTTCTGGGTCTCAGACTCTCCCTCCGTCAGACAAAGGGTGTGCGCTGAAGGCTGATAAGGTGGCTTCTGACGTCAATAGGCCACACTTTGCAGGGCTGGGTAGTTCACAGCGCCGGGGCCTCAGAGCCAGTCGCTCCTGGGGCCTGGCATTGGTGACACCTGTCTGCAGGGAGAGCTGGGCGGTGGCTTCTCCTCCCTGAGACTCCGCGTCCGCATCTATACAATGGGGTGACTCGGTGCCGCACGGCTGCAAAGGATGAAATGGTGTGTGGGAAGCCTGGCACCCCACGGCTCTCAGGAGCGCTGTTCGTTCTTTCCAGTGAGTCTGTTGGTCCACCCCTGAAAGCGATGCTGAGCTCTGTCTCAAACCCACAGGGCATTCTACAGGAGCTCTCCAGGCTCCACTGGGCGTCCTGTCAGGCCAGAACCCAGGCTGTGAAGCGAGGGCAGGCAGCCTGGGCTCCAGCTTTAAGAGGACGTGATGCTCAGGAGCAGCTACAGGCCTCCGAGAGCAGGAAACCAAAGGAGTCCTCCAGGACCAGGTGGCACAGAGATGGAAACCAAAGCCCCCAGGATGCACTTCAAGCCCCAACTAGAAGGGGCTGGGATGGAAGCCGGGTCCCACCGCCACCCCCAGTCCTTTCAGTTACCCCCACTCAGAGTGAGGTGCCCAGACCAGCAGCCGCAGCACCACCTGGAACTTGTGAGAAATGAGAAACCTCAGGCTCCACCCCAGACTTACCTGAAATTTCAAACCTTACAGAAGCATATCCACTCACATAGAAGACCCTTCCACAGGCCCCCTCCAACCCAACTCGCAGAGTACTCTGCAGTGCAGCCTCCTGATGCTTTCCCCACGCACAGGGAAGCCTCCCACACATACACAAAACTTCCCAAACAGTAAGAAGTACTGCACTGTGCGTGCGTATCTGCATTTAGGTTTTCTTTCTTAACTGTACACATCGCCACACTGTCTCTCAGTAGCTGTCCTCTCTGAGTACCTAGTTCAGCCACTAAGAGCATCAGACACTTTGTGGACTCGTGCCCCTCAGCAAGTTTCTTACCCTCTCAGAGCCTCAGTTTTCTCACCTGTAAAAGGTGAGTAATAAGCACGGTGGGCGTGGCTCAGTGGTTGAGCATCAACCCATGAACTAGGAGGTCACAGTTTGATTCCTGGTCAGGACACATGCCCATGTTGCAGGCTCAATCCCCAGTAGGGGGCGTGCCAGATGCAGCTGATTGATGATTCTCTCTCATCATTGATGTTTCTATCTCTCCCTCTCCCTTCCTCTCTGAAATCAATAAAAATATCTATATATATATAAAGCCATTGTCCATGATGACCAGGACAACCAAGCATTGAGCACCTCTCAGTCCCAGCCCCTGGCCCTCAGGCTCTGATGGATCAGCGATGGTGAAGGGGGAATGGGGGTGGGTGGTGGGAGGACCAGGCTGGCTGTCAGGCCCCTGGGATCACCAGCTCATCCCCAGCTGCTCGGGGGCTCAGGCCTGCGGGGAAGTGTGTGCCAGTGACTACCTCCACGTGAGTGTGCCGGGCTGGTCGCTGATGGAACACGCTGGCCGCTGATGGAACACGCTGCCTGCTTTGGGGCCTCTTGTATCAGGGAAGGTAGGTCGCAGGCACACCCTGAAGCTTCTGTCAGCGCCTCAAGCCCCAGCACCACCAGCAGCAGCAGCAGCAGTGGCAGTGCCTACATGAGTGGACCCAAGCGATCTGTCAGTGTGTTCCATCAGCAGCCTGCCTGGAAGTTGGTGAAGTTGCTGGCACCCATTTTCCCACAGGCCTGAGCCCCTGAGCCGCAGGTGATCCCAAATGCCTAACAGCCCAGCAGCGGAGGCGGTGTTCAGCCTGGGGCTGGAGAATGGGCAGAAGATGGCCCTGAGTGCAGAAGGCTAGGTGTAGGGGCCTACCTGCATGATTTCGTGAACTGTGCCTCTAGTATGAAAAAAAAAGGAAGGCTTGGACCAGTGCTTGGCATCTTGTGAGAACTCCCTGAGCTCTGTTATTATTGTCCTATCCCTGTATGTAGCCATTACCCTGGTGGGAGACATTAGATGGTGTTCAATTTTTAATTCTTACAGACCATACTCTCCCACACCTTTGCACTCGCATCTGGGACAGAATAACAAAGTAACTCTGTATTGGGTGCCTAAATCGGTTTATGCTGTATTTATGCTGTAGTTCTCAAACTGCTGGTGGGGGAACCCCAGGGGTTCTCTTTTGTTTTGTTTATTAGGATTTGGCAAAACGTTTCATTTTGGGGGAAAAGGACGCTTGCTACTAAAAATGAGTGAGAATCACTGGTGGTGTGGTCCCGAGAGAGTCAGGGTTATAAAAATGTTCAGAAATAATTTTAGGGACCATTTCCATGGAGCGTGCTTGGACCACGTTTCAGTGTGTGTGTAAGCTACTTTTTACCAGCAGCGGCCACCTCTTCCGAAGTCTGTGATCAGTGACTTTCATATTGGCAGCTTAAAATCGGCCCTGGAGGGAGTATCCCCCATGGTAATCAACAACACCCCACCTCAGAGCTGCTTCTGCCCCCGCTGAGCTGGTCATTAGCCTTCAGCAGCACACCGGTGCGTGCTCTCAAGCATTTTAACAAGCAGCACTTGCTCTTGTGTCTGCAGGGCTTGGGTTTGGCTCACCCTGGCTGGGCTGAGCTGGGCTCCCAGCTGGGGCGCCCGGATCTGTGCAACGTGCCTCTCCTCCTTCCTGCACTCGGGCCAATGCGGGACCCACAGGAGCAGCTCTATGAACGCTTACTGAAAGGTTAAAGGGCGTCACTTCTTCGCAGGCTGTGATGGGCAACACCTTTTTCTTGGTGGCAGGGACAGTGTTCCACGTAGCAGTTCCATGGTTGGCGGCCCCTTCGGCCTTCATGAAATGTTGCAAATGTACCCTAAAGACTCCCACTCTTCTGCACCTTGCCTCTGTGTGGGGGCAGCTGAGTCCCCCCGCCCCCTCTGGTCAGGGGAGGCTGCCTCCTCTGCGGCACTGAGCTGCTCCCGTGCCTGTCCATGCTGAGGGTTGGGCAGCTGTGTAAATCCCCCTTTACCCTTTGGGAGGATGGGTGTGAACATGGCTTGTGAGGGCTACCCTGTGTTAAATGTCACTCCCCATCAGACACAATCGTGGTTTGTGCAGCTCAGAGGGGTGCGAGAGGAAACAGACAGTGGAAAACCAGGCACTCCTGGTACAGATCTGGGTTAAAGCAGGAGGCGGCTGAACAAAGGACACCAGACAAAGGTGCAGGCCGGTTAGCCGGCTCTGAGTCTGCTGCCATCCATTCATCATCAGGAACCGGAGAGGCAGAGTGCTGGGCAGCTGCAGGGAGCCCGGGCTGCTCTTTCTCTGAGCCCAGCCAGTCATTGCTTTAGGGCACTGGGCGGAGTGGAGCTAACATGGAGTCCACAACCTGCTGCTATTATATACTTCTAGAGGCCCCGTGCATGAAATTCATGCACTCTGGGGCGGGGAGGGGGGTTGTCCCTCATTCCGGATTGCGAGAGGACACAGGTCAGACTGAGGGGCCCCACTGGTGCACAGTCAGGGCCAGGGAGGGACACAGGAGGTTGGCCAGTCGAGGAGGGACTGAGGGAGGCTCTAGGGCATGTCCAGCCCATTGGGCTTAGTCCTGATCAGCTGGACCCCATTAGCAAGCTAACCTTTTGGTTGGAGCATCTGCCTCAGGTGGTCAATGCACGTCATCGTGACTGGTTAACCAGTTGACTGCCTGCCCCCTGGTGGTCGTTGCACATCATAGCAAGTGATTGAGCAGCCTTAGCATATCATTAGCATATTACACTTGGTTGAATGGATGAATGGATGACTGGATGTTTAGCATATTAGGCTTTTATTAGATAGGATTATTCTCGTCTTACAGGGAGAAGGTAAATAACTCTCTGCCAATAACTCAAGTGGTGAGTAAGGAGAGCTGGCTTATTTGGTCACAAATGTGTCTTTTCCCCTACATAATGGTAAAAACTTTAACACAAAATTAATTATCAACACAAACATAGGGAGATGTTGCATGAAAATCTGCATTTTTATCCTCTCTTTAAAAATCTAAAGATCTCGCAACAAATGCTGCCATGCTTTTCTGTCAGCCACAGTCATCACCTCTCCCTCCCGCCTCTCTGCGCCAGGATGAGAGTCAGCTGCCTCCTCCTTTACCTGGCCTGCCTGCCTGGCCTCAGCAGCCCCCGGTCTGCACCCAGGCCCGGGCAGGATGATGGCCAAGGTCCTCACTGCAGCCTCCACTCCTGTAATCCCATGAGCCCTGGATCTTTCACGCGGTTGGTGACTCCTGCCTGAGATGAGCTTGATGGGTCGCCTTCCCTGTGTGGAAGGCGGTGCCCCTTTACTGTGCCACCCTCCAGGTTCCAACTCTGTGCTCCTCCTCAGCTCACTGTCAAATCAAGGTATAAATTATTGTTAAAATATTTGCATATATAGGATTTCCTTCATCAACATGTCCACTTCCATAGGGAAGGCAAGACACGTGAGTCTAAGGTGCCATTTCAGGCCTTAGATGGGTGGCCATTGGCAGATGCGTAGACCCACGAGCATCTACAAAGAGCAGAGAAAGCCCTGCCAGGCTTGGGGGGAGGGGGAGCGGGAGCAGCCCAGAACAAGGGAACCTTGAGAAAAGGGGCCCGGGCTATTCTGCGTGGTTTCCTTGCTGTGGGCATATTTCCCCTCTTTCTGGAAGATTTTGGGGTATCTGCTGTCATCCAGGTGAGTGTGATGAGACAGGAAGAGGTGCCCAGCTGCACTGCACTCTGCCTCACCCACCCGCTCCCCTGGTCTGGCCTCGAACCACGGACAGGGGCTTCTTGGAAGCACACTGACACAGATCAGAACCAAATCAATGCAGCTGGAAAATCGGTATCTGGGGAGGGTCCAGAGAGGGCATGGAGCAGGCCCCCAGTGATGGGCGGGGTAAGTGGCAGACCTTCTGGGGCCCCCAGGCTCCACCTGGGATCTCTGCCTCTGCCTCTGCCTCTGCCTCTGCCTCTGCCTCTGCCTCTGCCTCTGCCTCTGCCTCCGAGGCTCAGTGTGGCCAGAGCAGCATCAGATCTCCTTCTCTCTCTCCCTCTGTCCCCAGTGCACCCCCTTTGGAAGGGCCCAGCCTCCAAGCCCCGGGGCTCCCGGCAGTCCCCCATCAACATCCGCTGGAGGGACAGCGTCTACGATCCCGGGCTGCGCCCTCTCCGGGTCTCCTATGATGCCGCAGCCTGCCGCTACGCCTGGAACACCGGCTACCTCTTCCAGGTGGAGTTTGACGACGCCCACGAGGGCTCAGGTGAGCCCGGAGCGGGGTTTGAGGCTTTTCTCTTCTCCTGTCACATCCTAAGAGCGGGTCATGGACTTGGCAGAGAAAGGCCTGAGAGCCTTCAGTATGAAGTCTGGGGACAAGGACAGGCACTGGGGCGGCAGAAACAGGATGAATTATCTGCAGGGACGGGATGCTTATGTTACAGGTTATAATGCCAATCATGGTTCTGAGGGGACAAAACTATAAATGAAGTTACGTCCCTTTCTTCTTGGTTACACTCCAGGGATGGGGGAGGAAGAAACTCTAAGCAAATAGAAACACAAATACATCGCCCGTCAGAGAGGAAAGCAGAGAAGGGCCACAGAGAGCGGTGGAGGGGGCTTGGCAGGAGAGGAGGAGAGATGGCGTCTGGAGCCTGGTCACCTTGCTGGTTCTTACTCAGGGGAGACGGGTGGCGAGCAGACACTGAGCTGGCTGAGGGTTTATTTTTTATTTTTTTAAATATATATTATTGATTTTTCACAGAGAGGAAGGGAGAAGGATAGAGAGTTGAAACATCGATGACAGAGAAACATCGTTCAGCTGCCTCTTGCACACTCCCTACTGGGGATGTGCCCACAACCAAGGTACATGCCCTTGATCGGAATCGAATCCAGGACCTGTCAGTCCGCAGGCCGACGCTCTATCCACTGCTGGCTGAGGGTTTAAATGAACACCCAGCTGCCAGGAGTAAGGGGAGCGGAGGGAGTGGGGTGAAGGCTGTCTGGGATGATGGAGGGCTCAGGGGCAGGTAGGCAGGGGCGGTGGGAGAGAAACCTCCAAAGCCCCCGCCCGTTTCTGGGTCCCCAGCTCTGAGAACCAGCTCATTAAATCCTCGCCGGGATGCTGGGGAGTTAGGGATGGCTTCTCCATCAGGCTGGGCTGCTCCTTTCTACCTCGGACCTCGTCAGGATTGTAAGCTTGTGTACGCCGCACATCCGTGCTCTTTCTGGGAGTGGAGACTATCTGTTCATGTCAGGTAGAGGGTGCGCCTGTGGCAGCTCCCAGTGAAAACCTTGGGCACCAAGCCTCCTGTGGGTGTCCATGGTAGACAATACTTCACGCGTGTTGTCACAACTCATAGCTGGGGGGTCAGCGCACCCCTGTGACTCCAGCAGAGAGGACCCTGGAAGCTGCGCCTGGTCTCCAGACATCGGCTGGGGAAGCTTTTCCCTTTGCAGGCTTTGCTTGGATCCTCTCTCGTTAATAAATCCAACCCTCAGAGGCATTCTCAGCTACGACTCCCCAGATGCAAGGGATGAGAACCCCAACTCTGGCCAACATAAGCAGGGAGGAGCTGCTCAGAAGGCTAGGCCTGGCTGCAAGAAGAGGAGGGAAGGTGGACACGCAGATCTTGGAAAGCACAGGAACCAGGAAGCTCTGGGCTCCGGGAGCAGGGGTTCTGTATTTATTTACTTAGCACACCAACATTTTTTCTGACCCTGTTGGTCTGTTCCAAGTTCAAATTCCCAAGGAGCAACTAAAACAGGCTTTCCAGGAATATGGTTTGTATTCATTTTGAACATTTTATGCAGCAACTTGAAGAGATTAAATAAAGAATAATAGTTCCTGAACTTTGGCTTGGCTAATAGTTGTGTGATACATATTCTAAGATTGAGAAAAACAGATATGGATGTCAATGAGCTCATAAGACTCCTCTATAATTTTTATGTGTAGCTATGGGTCTGGCTGATATCTATAAACAGATTTCTTTTTCTTTACGTTTTAAAATATAAAACAACTTTGAAGGTTACTTTGGACTTTTGTATGAATAGAGCTAAGATACATTTGAAAAAACAATTCAGGTTCCCAGAGGGAAAGGTCTGGTGGCTGAGCTTGGTCAGTGGGGAACCCAGCACCCTGACCCTTGTCCTCACCAAGACCACATGCTCAGGTGCTATTTCTAGAAGGGGAAGCTGAACTGTACAGACAAGCAAATACTCTCTTTAAAAAGCACCACTATAATAGCACACCCAAAACAGACACCACTGTGAAAGTACTGGGTCCTCATTCTATGCAAGAAGAAATGGAAGTGACTCACTCAAGATCCAGTGGCAGAGAAGTAGAAGGGTCCTGGTTTAAGGCCAAGTCCTGCTGGTTCTAAAGCCCCCACCAGTCATTCACTGGCTCCTTCTCCTTGTTAAGGACTTCACTCACACAGACTTAAACATTCCTTGTAACCACCGAGTGAGACGAATATTATTTCCCATTTGACAGATGGGAAATGTGAGGCTCAGATTCACGGCAGGAGGTCACAGAGCCCTCACAATGACATTCTCTACTCTCCAAAGAAGGAAATTTTAGGAGCACGAATCCTCTGAGGAAGGAACCTGCAGCCGATGTCCACAGGTTCAGGCATGAGGCCAGAGGTGCTAACCGCATGCACAGGAGGAAAAGAGCTAGCACATGGGAGGAATGTGGTCCTGTCAGTCCCCCGGGGAGCAGGCAGCCAGCTCAGGGGCCAGGTGGGCTCCTGGCTCAAGCCCAGCCAAGCCGTGTCCAGTGTGCTCACCCCAGCAGGAGGGCCAGGGGCAGTGAGGTCAGCCTGGGCACCTGTCTCTCACCTACCGGCGAGAAAATGCCCACTTCCTGACAGGTGCTACAGGGAATCTCCTCGATGCTCCAAAGGCCCGATTGTTTATATTATACTTTTATTTGGGTAGCTTACAGCATGTGTGCCTTGGAACCTAGTTGCTCCTGTGTCCCATGGGAGTTCAGGGTCAGAGTTTAGGCTGGGAAACTAGACTATTACAGGTGACAATCGTCCCCAGAATCATAAGTCAAGGCCTCTTTTTGGTCAAAAATTTCAGTGTCTTGAATTTTTACCCAAAGCTTGAATCATAGGAGCGGGCGTGGCCAGTCCCAGGAACCATTTCTCTGACTTCAGTGATTGGTTCAAGAATGAGAATGTGACTCAAACCAAGCCAATGAGAGCCAAAGGGTTTTTCTTGGAAATGTTAAAAAAGAACCTCTCTTTCTGATAAGGTTGTGCTGAGGCCAGCTGTAAGGGTGCATCTGTGAGTCTTTATGGCAGAGCAAAGCCAAGAGATGAATAAAAATTGAGGCCAGAGGCCATTGTCAGAGCCTCGAACTGCAGATCTGCCTGAAGCCAAACCAGATTCTGGACTATTCAATCTCTTTTTAGCCTCAGTCAGTTTGATTTATCTTTCAGTCATTTATTTTCAAGAGTCCTAGTACAAGTAAACAAACAATAAGTGACTAGATTAAGAGAGAATAGCTAGAAGGGAGGCAGCTGGAGAATCACCAGTTTCATTTCTTTTTAAAAAATATATTTTTAATTGATTTTTTACAGAGAGGAAGGGAGAGAGAGAGTTAGAAACATCTATGAGAGTCATCAATCAGCTGCCTCTTGCACGCCCCCTACTGGGGATGTGCCCACAACCAAGGTACATGCCCTTGACTGGAATCGAACCTGGGCTCTTTCAGTCCACAGGCTGACGCTCTATCCACTGAGCCAAACAGGTTTCAGTCCTTTTAATCTTTGCTCAGATATAATTCAGCTGTAGGCTGGGTCTGTGCCACCCAGGGTGGAGGGGAACGTTGGCAGTGATCTGTTTAACTTGACCCAGAGAGATTATTGGTAAGCGCATGGTGCTTTAAGACTCTCAGACCTGTCTGGGAAGCCAGGCCCACATAAACCTGGCCCTTCTGAGTATATGGAGTCCTGGTAAATGTTTAGCAACTGGCCTTCTAGGGAATGGGTTGTGGGATGGAGGTTGGGGACAAGAAGCCATCATTTGTAGCGTTTGCCACTTCCTGTGGTGTAAATACTCCTGCACTGCCCTCCTATTTCAAGCTCCAGTGCAAAGTCATTGACGTGATTTAGGAAGAGACGCACAGTCCCCAGGAGCCTGTATGAGCTTGTCCCACATGTCACTCTCTTGTTCTTTTATCTCTTGAGTCCCTGCTGCCTCAGATCTTATTTTTGCTCTCATTTTTTACCAGACATTCATTGTATTGGTTAAGACTTCTTTTGTGTTGGATGTGGTAGAAACTCAACTCAAGCTGGCTTAAGCAAAAAAGAGGAAAACTTAATGGCTTAAATTCCCCTAAAGTTCAGGGTGCAGTTGGATCTGAATCCTCCCCATCTCGGCTCTGCTTTCCCCTGGTGGGTTTCATTTCCTCTGGAATTAGGGCAAGGATGGTGGCCCTGTAGAGAGAGCCCACGCCTCTGTCCCAGCAACAGCAGTATCGGCCCCAGGGCCGGATGCCATGGCCCCGCTTCGGTCACTCATTCTGGGTGAGCCAATCACAGTGACCCTGTGGTTGGAGGCCTTGCAGCAAGGTGAGGTCAGAGTGGAGGACCACAGGGATGCCTTCCCAGAAGTGAGGTGAGGCTAGAGAGTGCTCAGTGCTGTCTCAACTGGGCCTGACATCCTTGCTCTTGACCCTGAGCTGACCTTGGCTCACCCCTTTTTCCGCATTGCTCTCAAAGTCCAAGGTTTTTGCACCCATTATTGCAGCCAGGCCTCTCCATTGACCTGGCTGTGACCCCCACATTTTGGCTCCTCCATCACCTTCTCAATCTGGTTCAAAGGGACCTCGCCCTGCCACAGACCGAAAGAATTATCTGGGTGTCTCTCCCCGGCCACATAAATTAGTTGGATAATTCCCCCCGTGGCTCATGTCCACACAGGCCAATCTGGTTCTACTTTACTTGTTATTTTCTCCAAAACCCAGTTTCCCTCTTCTTTCTTTCCTACTCAATTTCCCAGGCTCCCACACCCATCTCTATAGCTCCCTTTCCAGCCTCTAGCCCCCACCTTTTCAGATTATCTGTCTTCCCTATCCACTGCTATTGGAAATTGGGAGCTGTGGGAGGAAAGGAAATGGAAAACACAGCTGAAAGACAGAAAGTACAAAAGAAAAAAGAAGAAAAAAAAGAGTTTTGTGCAAGAAACAGAGACTAATGAGATTCCCCCACAATTAAAAGAGAACAAACCCTGGGTGTACTAAAAGGAAATGCT